TTCCAGTGTCTTTGCTCCCGGTTTCTGGCAGCCGATGGCCTAGTGTATCCACACGGGACTATTGCCGCGGCTTTCGCGCACGCCCATCCCACCTTCCCTTGTTCCTTTATGAAACAGTCCATAGGATGCCTTCTCGCTCTCTTTCTGTTTTAAATTATTTTTCCCCTCCCTTGTGACTAAATATTTTTTTTAAAAATACTTAATTTTAAAAGGGCGGGCGGAGTATCAGCACTTTAAAGCAGCACTTTCTAGGGGATAAAATAATGCACCCAGATAAATAAAACCAGAAATAAATTGCTTTGCATCTGTGACTAGTTAGTTCATATACTTGCTCCTGACCACCTTTATGAAATCCGTCTGATTTCAGTCTCATGCGTTGCTTGTTTGTTTCCCTTCTGCTCAGTTAACGGGGCTGTTCTTTTTTCCTAATTCAGATAGTTTCCCAACTCTGGATGGCCAAGGTCTCAAACTAAATGGAATTAAATTGAAATGCAAAAAAACTCTTCTGGCACCCACAAGACAACTGCTGAAAGCTTGTTTGCAACAAACTTGCATTTAGGGGGGCTTAGATGATGAGTTCTGTCTGTTTGGTAATGCAGCTTTCTTAAAGGCTGCGTGTGGGAGTTTAGCAAGCAGGAAGTTCAGCAAACTTTCCCTTGCACTGCAAAGGTTCTTGGAATTATGGAGGGAAGAAAGAACAGCAGCATTTGGTACCTGTGCAGTTTTTTGCACGTTCATGAAGGACAGCTCTAAGGAAAGGCTATTCCTTGGTATTTACAGTTGTCCTACTGTACAGTCCTTATGTTCTAAGAATGAACATGCCAGGAGCAGTGTAAAGAACTGTGGTTGCCAGAATACATAATTAATAAAAAAATAGTTACATATGTGCTTAAACATGCAGATTAAAATCAGATGAATGCTTTGTGTGTAGTAATTAGATGAATTTGAAATCACACCTCTTTTGTAGGCAGCACAGCTGCTCTGTGTGTGTCGGGTGACGAGGCTTGGCACTTTTTAAGTGGAAGAGAGATTCATAACACATGCATGTATACATACAACTTTTGGAAAGAAGGGGTTTTTTGACTGATTTATGTTGCCTATGCAGCATGGAAAATGAGAGGATTTATTTTAAGTGTATGCCTTATCAACAGTGTTTATTACCAATCTCTTAAGATACCGTGGCTTCATATGGCTGTATTATATTTAAACAGAAGATCAGGCGACCATCAGACTTAAGGTTAAGTCTGCTATGTTGGAAGTTAATAGCGGCAATATTTAATTTATGAATTGATTTAAGAGTTATTAATATAGCTGCTTTTTTATCAGGTACTTTTCAAGAGTGTAATGGTGCTTGTGTATTCTTTAGGAAATGTCAACTTTTACTTCAGC